TATTATAAGAGTTAAGGCAATCTCATTTACAATGCAAAAAGTTTGCTTAGTATATCAAGACTTTAGTACTCTGCAAATAATGTAAGGAGACTTTCTTTGGTACTGAGAGCAACTGCTTCCTTGAGATATGTACAGATCAGCGGGACAACATTTAAGACATAAACTAATCAAAGCTGAGATTTTCTTAACTCTAAGACCTAGTCTTTTATGCGGGATTTTCAAATCAGTGTAGTTGTTTCATGCTCTTGCAGTCGAAAGGGACAAGACGAGGGAGATCACTCGGAAGCTTCCATTTCGAGCAGTTTGTCACGGATGTAATGTGACTATCAAGGAAGCCGAAGCGACAGTAAGAGTTATACAAAGAACAAAGAAATATTAATAAGACTATTCAATTAATGTGATTTGTGCGTTGTGATCTATAAGATAATCCTGAAACTAACTCACCGGTTGCATACCCTGTCAGACCAATTTCACTTTCCCCCAAAGTTGAGATCAACTAAAAAAATTAGAAGCATGGTCAGGTTACTCAGGAAGCATGGCAGATTGGTTATGTGTTCAAACATGTGTGTATAGATGTGAACTCAGACGACACACTGTCCACTAAAAATCATCGTAGATCGAAACGTATTAGTTCTATAAAATGGAAACATGGTTCATATTAAAAGTCTTCTTAAGTATGTCACATTTGGGGAATTTTGAAGGACTAATGAGTGCAGATGAGACTGAAGACCACCAGATGAATGAGAGCTGTTCAGAATGTGCTCTAACAGTGTCTCACTTGAGACTTCCTATTTGATCTGTCCGGTATTCTGCTCACATGTCGGTTTTTTTTACATCGTTCGAGCTGAGAGCATAGGGCACCCGACTAATCTCATGGGTCACGAAAGCCCTGGTATCCTTCTGCAACTGGTTCATGTATAGTGAGATTGTGAATAACCTTGGCCAACATGTTGGGTTGTTTAGATTTGCCATTTGAGATAGCTTGGCGAGTCATAGACTTTTGTTTTCTCAAGGAATTGATGGTGATGGAATCGAAAACAAATTTCCCAAGATGGACTGGGCTTGAAGACTCGGGCCTATGTTCTGTCTTGAATCAGCAGCATCTCATTACGTGCTCATTGGGTTGTCTTTCAATGAGCTTCAGCTCGATATCATGGTTCATTATACTTCATACAGATTTAAATGGCACGGTACGACGATAATGCTATACACATAGATACCGATTTAATAACTTGATTTGAAAAATAATGTGATAGATTCTCGTCAGGTACTCGAATGCGACGCACGGTTCACCTCACCACTTTTATAAGCCAATTTTTCTTGATCAAAATCCATAGCAAAACTCGCCGCATCATACCTTGGAGCCATGTCCAATTACTCATGATCTCCCCTTTCGAATTTCTTATTTCTAAGTGATTTTACCTTCTTTAGCGCACGATATCCCTTCTTGCGCTTTGTATCGTTAATCACTTTCGTTATTCTCTAATTGCTAGCTTTAATTATTAGAACAAACGCCTCGTGATCAATTTCAACCTGATATCCTAGAGGTCGGCGTCTCTAGTTGCCCACATTAACATATGTAACCATTCTTTCATCCATAAAAATCACGGTATACACTATACAGTAGAAGTTCAAAATATAAGATATGGTCCATTTTGGTCCTCTGATGCCTTGAAGCTTTACAACAAGCAAATGTTCACGCGACTTTAACGATTGGACGATTTGAGTTCCACAACTAAGAAGATGCTCTTCCAACATAGTCCAAGGATCGGTTAACTTAATGCGGGATATGTTTTCATGCAGTCAAACGAATGATTCGTGTTCCACCATGTCTCTTACACTCTTTTGGCTTTAATTCCAGTCTGTTTTTAACAGAATGAGCCTGTTCTTTCCTCTTTTCTGGGCTGTGTTTGTGCTGTCTTTAGACAAAGCCGTCCCTCCAACGGTGATGCTATATCTTTCAGTCCAACACTTGGTAGAATATGCCAAGTTCCAGTCAAAAGACATTGAAGGTATGATCAAAACACAGAAACTCGAGAAGAATCTAATTGCAAAGAAGACGTAGATTCTTGATCAAAATATCGTTGTCCCCACGAGTTCGAAACATGTCCTTTATGTTCCCAAGTATTTGACTGTGTTTTTGTAAGTGGAGAGAGTGCAGATGACAATGATGTCTTTGTTTCCAAGCATGCCACGGCTTCCTTGTACATCACTTTCAGCATCTTAAAAAAGTTTCGCCGATTTTTATGCATGGTTTAGTGGGCCGGCCAACTTTTGTACGGCTTCAAGTTTTCAGCCCTTTGTCAAAGCTCTAAGATCTCACGCACGGTTACTGCATAAACGCTAACAAGTTTGATAGTATCACAACTTGTTCGGTAAATCCAATCAGCATTGGGTAAAGGGCTTCGTCGGATTGTACATCTAGCTCATTAGGGATCCAATCTATACGGTTACGTGATAAACTGAATGTAGCATTTGGATCTTAGTGAGACGTAGATGCTCGAGATCCGGGGCAACCAAATATTTTTGAACCTTGGGATCTTGATTTGTCTATTTCTTTTGGATCTTGCAAACACATGCATGCAATGAGCTGATCGAAGCATAGCAAAAGTACGAGGCTCGGGGTAGATGCCAAGGCTTCTTGAGCGGATATTATTAGGACAATGAATCCAAATTAACTATGCCGAGACCTTAGAATGGTAGCATATATTTCACATCTGCTCCTTTAGGGCTTCACCAACAAACTTCTATCAAAGTAGTTAATGTCACTTCATTTGATTGTGATTGGTCCAATGCTCAAGGAGGAAGAAACAAGAAACGTACGGATTATAAAAAACGTATGTTAATGATTGTCCAACGCTGGCATACAATGGTCTACCGAATGTGAGCTTTATTTGTATGAAACTGAAAAAAGTCATTTTTATTATGATTTGTGATAGGAAATGATTCCTCAAACTTCTCAAACTGCAGAGGTGTTAACTGAGGGAGGTTTAGCATCCCACAGATTTGGTCCTGCTGGGGTGAATTTTTTATCAGAGGGTTTGCGTGAAGTGCCCAATTTGAAACACTTGCAATGCTAAAAGAGATTGGAGATCTTCATTTGCCTTAATCATTAAAAGGATAGAGAATTCAACCTTTCTTTCTGATACAGAACCATCTGAGGAAGAAATTAGAAAGGAACATCAGACATGGAAAATCTTATTGTAAGTTCGGTCTGTGAAGTTACCCGATACACATAACGCGTGATACTGCCATACACATCGGTGGGGACAACTCGGAAGTCAAAGAGAACCGAACACTTCATCATATTAGCCAAAACAAAAAAGAAATCTTTTGAGAGTAAAATTAGGTTTCCAAAATAGTCGCTGATCATTCATATGCACATATTTGAACCGAGATGACTATCTAATGATCGAAATATTCATACGCCATCGTGTGTTCGATTTGCTTGTGGGGATTTTTTCCCCCGTCGGTCCCTGTATGTTATAGAAGTCCAAGAAGAAGATCGTCTAGGTCTTTTCTCGACAGTTCTCATCTTTTGAGAAAATAGAGGAAGAGAGTGGGAAAACAGTACCTTAACTCATGGATGCAAGAATCTGAGGCAGGTTCTTTCACTTGGAGAGACTCATTTCTCTCAGCGGTTGTGTTCTCTATTTAATTAATAATCACAGAGTGCATACACAGGGAAGGCCCACGAAGGTAAGGTAGTTATCTTTGTTGCTTTGCATGTTCTCATCAGTTTTGATTCCCAGAACATTCACTATGATTTGAACAATCTTATATAATAACAATTAGAATGAGCCAAGAAGGCTAAAGAGATAAGGATGAGGTTTGTCTGTGGGTATATACTTCATAATCAGCCTGGATTTTAGCAGACATGTATTTCTTGTTAGAGGGTAGGCTGTACAATTTAGATTCTAACATTCTCCTTGCTAGCTGACATATTAAGCATGTAACTTTCTCATAAAGTTGACTTATTTGGCGAATTGAGGCAGGGAAAAAGGGTGGATCGGCAATAATAGGGCGCCAAAAGCATTACCTAGGAGTAGTAGATGCAGTTTTCATTGCGAATCGTTTGAGGTATAAACATAAAAGGGTTATCCGAGCCAATATGACGTCCAAAATCTCAATTTGATTCCTGATTGATACGTCAGAATCAGCTCATTAAGCAAAAACAGTTCATGGCCAATCCCTAAGTCATGGCATGGATGCCGACAGCAATTGCCTTCGGATGTCGGGAAGGGGGCCTTAATGCAAACAAGTATCATCAAAGCACGATGAAAAGAACAGTCATTGCGAACGTTGATTGATACAGCACTTTGATTAGGTAGGTGAAGATCCATGGGTTCTCCTAATATACTCCTGTACTCTCTCCGTTAATTTAACCGATAATGTACCAGGTAGAAAACAAAGGTAAGTTTAGTGGAATCAATGTCGTTTAGCAGTTGTGCAAATTCTGTCAATTTTCTCATCAAGGTTCTAAAGTGGACCAACCCCAAGTTGATTCCATGGCTGGAACTTTCAGAGAGTCTATGAATTTGGTGAAGGCGTCTCTCTTCATTATATTGAAGAGAATAAGAAGCTGATGAGAAGTTGCCTCCAAAAGACAAAAGCTGGCCAGCCTTTAGGGGGCCAAAGTGGAATCAATCTAAACAATATTTAAATTCCTAATACTCCTCTCTAAACTAAATACAAACCCAATAAGAGCGAAAGAATTTGGCTAACAAAAGAAAATAAAAAACTTCGTCAACTAGAGTGACCCACGTTGAGTTCTTTTAACAGGGAGGACATCCTACGTTGTCTCAAATAAGAGTAGTGGGCATTTGTCTAACATCTTCTCATTATTGTAACTTCTCTTTCAGCAATCATATTCAAAACTGCATCCCCATTATTCAATCATGTCCTCCTCTTTAAAGAACAGCACCAATTTGCTTTGTTTTCTAATATGTGGTCCGGCCTAACTGGCAGAATCTTTGCTCGGTTTATAAGCTTCAATTCAAGCACCCTCTAGGCTTTGTTGCATTACCGATTCGGTCTTGGATTCAGGTCGGGAAAAAGGAAAGAAATTTTCCTGCACTTTCTTGGGAAGATTGAATTGGAAAATGGGAAGGCAACCTTGTTGTGATAAGGTGGGATTGAAGCGTGGTCCATGGACCATAGAGGAAGACCACAAGCTCATGAACTTCATCCTCAATAATGGCATTCAGTGTTGGAGAACAGTCCCTAAACTTGCAGGTAATTTATTTTATTTTTCATTCTCAGGCATTGCTATTTTCTTTTCCTTTCTTTTGGCAATCTAAATGGATCAAAACGTTGATGGTTTGGTGATGAATCAGGCCTGCTGAGATGTGGGAAGAGTTGCAGATTAAGGTGGATTAATTACCTGAGGCCAGATCTCAAGAAGGGTGCTTTCACTGAGATGGAAGAGAACCAAATAATTCAGCTTCATTCGCGTCTCGGCAACAGGTACATGTGACATTTCGGCTTACCACGCCTTGGTGTCATAAAAGCGTGTGCATTTTCAATTCAAGTAGCCATATATCCTTCTACATGGATGTCTCGTGTTCAGGCGTTATTCCAGTTGTGTTCAATAAAACAGAACAAGTAAATTACTATTTAGGGGGGCGTCCAAACACCTAGACAAACATTGTAACTCAGGCAATGGTCAAGTACTATGATCACTTGGGCATGGAATGTCAGGAAATACGATTTAAAAGCAAGAAACTTAAACCACCAATCCAGAGGGATATGCGATGATAACTCGAGACACGTAAAAAGAGACGCGATGTATGAATTGTCGATAATAGTTGCTTAGGCAAGTTGTCCCGCTGTATTGATATATAATGAGTTTCACTCGATGGTTCTGATGCAGGTGGTCAAAGATCGCTTCACATTTCCCTGGTCGCACAGACAACGAGATCAAGAACCATTGGAACACGAGGATCAAGAAGAAGCTGAAGCAACTTGGACTAGACCCCACCACTCACCAGCCAATTATAGAGGAAGATCACAGCAAAAATGGTGATGAAGAGGACCAAACCAATTCATCTAAAGAAGAAGAGGGAGTGCTCCCAAAGGTCAAGCCCATAAACGCCCAAGAACAGCAAGAGCAACCCGAATTGAAATTGGAGGAAGCAACTGACTTTTTGTTGAACAACTATGAATTGTTGCTGTGTGGCAATCTTGATGAGGGAGATCAAGGGCCAAATCAAGAATCGGACAGGTCAATCTCACAGAGCTCTAATTCAATTTGCATGGAGGATTCTTCACAGAACCAGTCTAATTCCAATGGAGAGTCTAATTGCTCATCATCATCACTCCAAGAACACAACAATGGGGGTGGTGTCCGACGATGCATTGATAGTGTGGACTCTATGCTCTCATGGGATGGCTTTGATTTCTTGGAACAAGATCTCTTCTTTGAAGACAGATTTTGAGCTTTAATTTGCAAGTTTTCTTTTCTTTCCCTCCTTTCTTTCTTTCTTGATATGTGTTGTTAGTTAGCCAAGCAATAAAATATGCGTTTCCTACCTTCTTCTTTTTTTCCCAAAGAAAGATTGTGGAGATCATGATCGTGATGTGCCATTCGTGAATGTAAAAACGATGTTGCTCTGGTTGTCGTCTTAATCTTTCACATATGCTTAGTCTATCATTAATAACCGTTTGTACTCGATAACATTCGTTAATGCATTTTGATTTTGGATTGGATTTTCTAACATAAGTATATGCTCTTTATATATATATATGAACTGTGACATCTCTGGATTCACTCACTCGATGTATTATCCGCCTTGACTCGTCTCATACCGAGCCTCACGGTTGTCTTTTGGTGTACAAGTATACACTTTCTCGAGAGGTCAACTATCCTAATAGCGCTCTAGTCCGAGCTCGCTTAACTTTGGAGTTCCAAAGCAAAGCTTGCTGTTATGTCAAAAGGTGCCTCTGTGAGTTTATCCCAGTTTATATATATATATATTTCAGAATCACTCTCCTCTTGTTCATTGCACAGTTCGGTTCATACTTACCTCCTTCGCCATCCTGGAAGCCTGCCAAGAGCTGCTCCTTGCCCAGACCCTTTAGCCCTAGTGACCACTCTCTGCCCTCGTCAAACCGGGTTGTTTCATGATCTCCATTCACCGATGAGCTTTGGCTTTATAACATTCATTTGTCTCGTCGCGAAAGGCAAGTTCTCATGTAAACCGGAGAAATTACCAAAAAAGTCATAAACGTTTTACATTAATAGTCATAAATATTTTAATTGGATCAATTTTAGAGCTAAACCTTTTATGTTTGTGCCAATTGAGTTAATCCACCAATTTTGACTGGAAATCATTGACATAGATATGTCAACAGTTCAATGTGGCATGAGTGGCATTGACGTGGATTAATTTTACGATTCTTAAATATTTTTACTGAGTTTTTTTATTGCTTTCCTTTTTTCATTGTGGCCTAGGTAAGGGTTGTTGCCTAGGCCATCGCCGGCTGCAGGCAAGGGCCGCCAAGCCCTTACCAGATGCCGCGAGGGCACCCTGATCTCCAGTCTTGACGGTAGCAGCTCGTTATGCAAAATCCAGTATCACCCACGGAGCTCCATCACGCTTAACTCCTTTGCAGGTTTTCCAATGTCACCCACAGGGTTTCCGGCGGAAGTCCAGCAAGTTTCTGACATCTTGCAGACTTCCCTTGCCAGGGGTCGGCAAGGTCTCGTAGGCCCCTCACCCAGTGGCCCTTCGACCACGATGAGAAAAAATAAAAATAAAAATTCAGAAAAAAATTATAAAATTATAAAATTTATCCACGTTAGCGCCAGTCGTGCCACGTAAAACAGGCGGTGTCCATGTCATCGATTTACTGCTAAAATTGGTCAGATGAACTCAATTAGTATTAATGTAAAAAGGTTTAGGACTGAATTGGTACCAATGCAATAGGGTTAAGACTTTTTTTGTACTTTTCCCTGTGTAAACCTAGTGTCCATCTTCTGTGGAACAGCAATGCGAGGGTATCACATGATTTGCAAGACGCCATCGACTTGCTGTAAAAATGTCATGAACCCTGGCAACACACAATATTACCAATCTAAAGCCTTGCTCTAAAACCTATCCATAAAAAGCAACGCAATCCGAATTCAGTGAATGAAAATGGCCAGCTCAAGATTTCCCTCACCTCATATATCAATCTCTGGGGTGTCCTTCAATTGTCTTGTTTACTTCAATGATGCTTTTTCGAGACTTGGAGGCCAAAAACACAATGTCACGATCTCTACGAATACGTGCTAAGTACTAAAATTTGTAGTGCGACCTTGTATTCTCCCCTTTTTCTACGTATACATATGTGCATGAAACGTACACGAAGAAAGTGTCTCGCACCCTGATAAGAAATATAAGGAAGAAAGCATAGCTCTGACTTTGCCTACATAATTACACTTGTTTTGGTTGATCTCCTAATGATCTTAATGCTTATAATTCGAGCTCAATGCTAATGCAACATGAAGCGCGTATGGAATACAATCGGCGGTCATATTGGCAAGACAGAAGATCTCTCGATATGGCCTTCACATCACAAATGAAGTGCTCGCCCTGGAACGACCCTGCCCAAGTTTGCAAACATAAAAAAAGCTGAGCACCTTGTGCGAGGTCCAAGAGGAAAGCTTGAGTTGGCTAATCACCTCACAAAAATGGTTTGCGAAATGATAAATGCATGCTTCGATATGATCGGCGACCATCTAAACTCTAGTTTTCACCACATGATGAAGAATTTAGACATAATTACAGAAATAAGATCAGGTTCTGGTAGCTTCTGTTGGAAAAAATATGCTCCTTCGAATTGTAAAAAAAAAGAAACTTCAACTTCAACTTCAAACGGGATGAATAACGAAATTAGACTTTTAGGCGTGCTATCACTTTCTTTAAGGAATTATTTACCCCACGAAGTTGCTAATGGTCATCGGCAAATTTCCTCCAGGATACAACAAAGTCTCGATTAAGAATACCGAATAGCAATTTCGGTATATCTTCAGGGTCTCTCTAGGAAAATAATTAGAAAGAATAACTGCAGTTTTTCGGAATGAAAAAGTGTCTAAAAAATCCGAATGAAGAGACTTGATATTCAACCATGTAAAAACTGATTCACTAATCGCAGCCTTTCGAATAAAAGTGTCCCTTCATCGAAAAGATGTATAGTGAATTGGTACGAAATCAAAAGTCACGTTGAAAAAGGATATATGAAAATTCGGAATAAAATAATAATAAAATAAAATAATAATATTTTTTAATCATTTTTATTAATCCGAATTTTATAAATTCTGAAAAATAATCTTTGAACAAACACAACCTTTCAACGTTGAAGGAGTTACGTCCGAAAAGGCATAACCTTCCAAAGGTGAAGTAGTCACACTGTTTCAATAGGATAAACGAGGATTAGTACTAAGTGCGCCTAATAATCGCGCCAAAATCGCACACCCGGGTATTGAGAAGTCTAGTCCACGCCCCATTGTCTTCACTTTAACAAAGAAGAAGACACTTACACATATAAAGTGACCTACCTTATCAAAACTTTCATATGTGGGACAAAGAAAAAAGCACTATTTTACAAACAAACAACCAACAGCTTCTGGTAGACCATTAAGTTCGTGTGGTTGCTTGGAAAGAGGGCTACGGTCAAATCCATTGGAATCCTTCAAGCGAACCTTCTGTGACAACTTAACTAATACGGATGGAAGTTGCTCATGAACAGCTCAAGCTCACTAGATATGAGCACATAAGCTAGTTCGATATTTAGAAAAATCAGTTCATTAACAAAGCCAAAGTTAACTTCAAGAAATGGGTTAGATATAGGTTAATAATCTTTCTTCGCATATTTCTACTGTTCCATGCGAAAAAAATGCGGATTTTTTCCAATACTAGGAAGTGTGGGTAAAAAAACGGGAGAAGTGTCAAAAAAGTCCTAAACCTTTTACATTGGTGCCAATTTAGTCCAAAACCTTTTTTTGATGCCAATTCAGTCCTAAACCTTTTGCATTTGTGCCAATTGAGTCCTAAACCTTTTTTTGGTGCCAATTCAGTCCTAAACCTTTTGTATTGGTGCCAATTCAGTCCTAAACTTTTTGCATTGGTGCCAATTGAGTCCTAAACATTTTTTTTGTGCCAATTGAGTCCTAAACCTTTTGCATTGGTGCCAATTCAGTCCTAAACCTTTTGTATTTGTGCCAATTCAGTCCTTTCGATTAATTTAGCTAAAAAAGATTTAGGACTGAATTGGCACCAATGCAAAAGGTTTAGGACTGAATTGGCATCAATGCAAAAGGTTTAGGACTCAATTGACACCAAAAAAGGTTTAGGACTCAATTGGCACTAATGCAAAAGGTTTAGGACTGAATTGGCACAAATGCAAAAGGTTTAGGACTCAATTGGCACCAAAAAAAGGTTTATGACTAAATTGGCACAAATGTAAAAGGTTTAGGACTAAATTGATACCAAAAAAAGGTTTAGGACTAAATTGGCACCAATGCAAAAGGTTTAAGATTTTTTTGACACTTTTCCCGTAAAAAAACTATTGGCAAAAGAAAAGACAACCCGTGACTTTTTTTTTTTTTTTTCAGGTACAAGTTATTTATGATTTACCAATGCTTTAATAGAAATTACACCAATTTATCGTCCGAATTCCGGACCTTCCCTTACTTTTATCTATTCATTTTCACCTATACATTTTTAAAGTGAGAAACGATTCTCCCTTCTTCTTCTTTTTGTGAAACGGATCATATAAAGTTATTTCATTTCCAATGAGGCAATGTTTGTGTGGAGTTATTAATTGATTAGCAAACTCCCCAAGTTGGTACATATTTGAATTTCAATATCCAAGTTAGACAATCATAGGTACACAAATATCATTTTTTCAGCTAGTGCCCTATCAGGAGCTTGAGAGGAACCTTCAGTTCAGGCCGCACCAACCCCATATATTCAAAGCCACCTCTCATGAACAAGAGAGAGAGAGAACAAAAGAAGAATATTTCTTCCTTTTATTAATTTAGATTCCACCAAAGTCGACTCCTATTATTTAAATGAGTGGAAAATAAAAAACAATAATAAGAACAACATATGTTCTGTCTAATGCTACGGTTAAACTGGGTTTTCTTGGAGGTCAGTGGTGACATAATCACATACCACGTCAACATCAGGTTGGTGAGTTCTTGTTTACTTATGTACCTATTGGATTTGATTAAGATAAATGAGGAATAAGATGGTGCAAGCATGTGGGTTGCCGACATCAATGCAAATTATAAAGGGCGTCATCATTTGTGCGGGAATATTGAACTGGGGAAGGATAAGTTTTTTAGATGATTTTGAGAAGATCCTGTTTCTAAAGAAAGGAATATGAGAGCATAATTTATGTTTATATCGTGGTTTGCCTTAGTCAGAAAGTTCAACTTTTGAGAGCAATG